AGAGCTTTGAAAAATGTACATTTTACATATTAGTGGCATCACCACTCTTCCTAATCTCTCTACATTCAATTCTACTGTCGTTGGCAAATATAAGAAAATATTCAAGTTAGCGAGAACGACAACTGTCGGCSTGCAGTCGTGTAGTCGTGTAGCTGTCAAAATAACTATGTCCCTAAGAACGCGTGTATTTTGATATTTGACAGATGACATTTGCAGTCTGTCGCGAGCATTGTGTTCAGCACATTACCAATGATATTTTGATTTATGCTTGTATAAGTTTATTAAATTTAAGACTTCGTTCATTCTCAACCCAATTTGCATAATTTTTCTGTAAAATAACAATATTGAACTCAATATTAATTTTTTTATTATTTAATATAATAATACTCACTCTGCTAAATTTCATATTACCGAAATGAAAACGCCGTTGGCATTTGTGCAAATGGGATATGTTGCCTCTTCGAAATTTTTATAGAAATGAAAACTGCGCCGTTAAACTGCTGAAGTGATAGCTTATTGCTTACTAATTAGTATTCYATATATTGTAAGCAATAAGCAATGTGGAGTCTCCACAGGTAATAGACACGGCAATACAGTTACTAAGACATAGATTTTATCCTGTCGAGATGCCCCGTAATTTACGCACATTATAAGTATATACCGAAATATATAAGGTCACGAGAGCACCCATTGCAGAATCTAGTGATATATGAGCCTTCCTCAACAATTTAACGGCGTATTGTCTTTATGTAAAATGACAGCTAAAACCGGGCTTGCGTCCGACCATTCATAATGCTTGCTCCTTATCAGTTCTTTGCCKCCKGGCTGCAACAAGATCGTTGTCCGAGTCAATGGGCGTACGCACGTCTAAAACACTGGAGACGTGTCTTCCGTTTAAMACAACATTATCGATCTGGTTAGTGGCTTTTCTATCCGGTGACAGCMAGTTAGTTAGATGAATTTTCTTATGCTGGAATCTAGCACTACAGATAACCATATTTCGGGTCTCAGCGAAGTTATTCAGTCTCGTTGTGCCAAAGATACATTCTTTCTCCGCCCTGGCGTTAAAGTCGCCAAGCACGACTTTGACGTTGTGGCGGGTGCGCTCCAAGGATTCATAGAAGGCATATTTGGTTACATTTTCCTTCTCTTCCGTCGGTGCTTGGGAGCAAATCAGCGATATGTTTAAGAACTTCGCTTTGATGTGGATTGTGGCTAAACGTTCATCCACCGRTGTGAATGCCAGGACTCGGCGACGGAGGCTCTCTCCCACCTATAATCTCTCACCGAATTCACGCTTCTTTATGTGACCACTGTAGCAAATGCCACAAGGATCTACTSATTTCAGTCATGGTCCTGTCTATTGTTGGAATTATTTTCACGAGGACATCAATCAGTTAGGCAGGGGCAATTAACCAATTAAGGAGCGTACCCTCAAATCGTAATCCTTAATGCGTTTGCTATGGTCATTATCAAAAGTGGGGTCTCTCATCCGAGCCTTAATTTTCATTGAAGCGTACAACCCTGAGTAGGGATGGTCGCCGATTCGATTAGCTCACCTTCAAATTTATATAAAAAAAAATATTTTTTTAACGTAAATAACTCATTAATATGCAAAAAACTCTTTTTTAAATTCATTTAATTGTTAGTTAAACTGGTTTACTTAATACATTACATAAAAACTAATGTTCATTTTTATACCCTGAACAGGGTATATTAAGTTTGTAACACCCAGTATAAAGTAGATATATAAATGATCAGTATGTTGAGCTGAGTCGATTTAGCCATGTCCGTCTGTATGTATACATACGAACTAGTCCCTCAGTTTTTAAGATATCGTTTTGAAAYTTTGCAAACGTTATTTTCTCTTCAAGAAGCTGCTCATTTGTCGGAACTGCCGATTTCGGACCACTATAACATATAGCCGCCATACAAACTGAGCGATCGGAATCAAGTTCTTATATGGAAAACTTCACATTTGAGAAGATATATTCACGAAATTTGGTATAGATTATTTTCTGAGCCAACAATGTTTCTCCGAAGAAATTGTACAAATCGATTAACTATAGCATATAGCTGCCATAAAAACTGAACGATCGGAATCAAGTTCCTGTATGGAAAACTTTCACATTTGACAAGATATATTCACGAAATTTGGTMTAGATTGGTTGGTGGTTTGACTCCTATTACGGTCTCTGCGAAGTCACCTCAGCAAAAACGGAAGTATGCAAGCAAGTAAGTTGGTGTTCGACGGAAGATATCAAGAGGCATCCTCTATTGTTATGGAATGCAGAATTCTGAACGAGYGTTTCCATTGCCTTATATCCGTGCAGCATTATTGGTGGACAGCCATCCGAATATCCACGGTGAGAGCTGCTTGCTAGTGACTTGAGGATTTTGTTGCGGGTCTGTACTTTAACATTAAACGCGGTCGTATATAGAATGAAGTAAAACAGGCGTTCCTATTGTTGTTGACAATCKGAATTTTAATGCCATCGATTGTGTTATTAATATCCATTGTGTACGATTTCATCAATTTCGTGAAGATGGTCAGCTAGTGATAGTTATACGGTTCGGAAACAGAATATATACTTGCTTGTTATAACAACTTATATATGAATGAATGAATGATAATGCGGAATGCACTGCGACCTTTGGTCTGTTGTGCCCTCTCCTTCCTTACATTGCCTCAYTTAGCCCCAGCCCATTAATGAAGTCCAGTAGACTGCTAGGCGCTAGCGAGGCAATGCGATCCCTATCCGRAAATAGAACTCCAAGGGCCTTGGCTCTGCGAATACAGACTGCTGTGCAGTCGATCAGCAGATGCTCCGGAGTTTCAGGCTCCCTGTCACAGAAACGG